GTTTTCTAGGCATAGATTAAGTCATTCGTTCTCTAGAAGCTGGGTCCTATTGCGTAATAATCATGTGCAGAAGTCACTTATTTATTTACCAGGGAAAATTACTTTTGGGAGCAGGAAAAACTGTGTTCATTACCGTCATATAGAACTGAAATGATATCAAAAGTCGAATGAACTTATGTGATGAAATATCCATAGGATTTTTTAGTGTATTCCGCCTACTGATCTGCCTTATATATCAATATATATCTCTTTCGTGGTCGCGCTTACATCCTGTGTTAACTATAGAACGCAATGTCGGTGAACCGATTGTCCCTTGTAAATGGCAAGCAACAGCAATTTCCCCTACCGTGTTTGTTCCAGTTGGTATGTCCATCCACTTTGCTGAAGAGAATGGCATTGTGGGGCTTTGATTGCTCCCATCCACAACCCCTTCCAGTGATCACCATCCAGCCATCGTCCCCTGGGCATCCTTTGTACACGCTTTTGATGATAAAGCTGCGGCCATATCCGGGTTTTGGATCGATAGCAAAGAGATTACACGGCTCCGTTCAGATGTCAGACCAAGGTGTATTCTTCAGCTGGTTGATATAGAACCAGTCCATATTGTTTTTTCCATTTGCGTTGGAGATTAGCTCCTTTACTGGATTTCCACCCTTATAAAGGACAACTTTTACCTATTGAAATAAATAAAGATATTGCTGTTTGCCAAAGACTTGAGCTGATATATTTTTGCTATAACAAAAATGAATTCATAGTGTCAGGCGTTCTCGGGCCGAGTGATTGGAAATCTAGGATGATGTGAATTCTATTGGGCCTCGTTATTCAAAAAAGTTAAGCCATTATTCAACAAAACAGCGTTCTAAACTGTGTTCAATTTAGCTGAACTTTTTATCTGAACATTTACTTTTGCGAACAGTTTCAAGAGGACGAAAGCCAGTGGTGGAAGGAACTTTCTCTAGTTAAATCAATCTTATATAGAATAACTGAGGCCCGGCCACTGCTTCCGTAAATCTGCGCTTCGGGTTAAACCTCGTAACATACCGGCCCTATGTGCTTAAACGAGTGAGTGTCGACTTGCGGTAATTGTAAGCTAGATTTTATCTGTGAATATTACATGGGCACAGGAAAACCTTGAAAAGCGTGTAGATATTCTGGGTAACAATGTTTACCTCAGTGGCGCCGAAGTCTTCCCAGTTCAGCACAATCCTGTTTCTGTAGTCATTTGGGAATCGGTTAGTGACGTCGATAGCTTTCAGTTGGTCCTCATTGAAAGTGCCACCCGACTTGTAGATGTCCAGTGCCTTTTGATTGGCCCCAGTTACAGCCTTAAACACCATGGTCCAGCCTGAAGGTTATCAAAGAGACAAAGTAATTTATTCATTTATGACAAAATTATATTACACGACTGTTGAGTTAACAGCGAGGTGTCTGCAGGGCGAAAATTGACTCTACATGAGAATGACTGATCTCATAGCCAGATGAAATGTACCACTGCTAGGCTGTGGAGGGTCTGGGTACAAAAAGTAACCTTTTTTAACTTATGGATTAAAAAAGGGTAGGGTGGGTAGGGGAATGGCACTAATGATATCAGAGACAGACCAATTGCTGACCTCTCGCAGCTTGCGTTTCACGACGTCCCATGCTCTTCGTAGGCGAGGAAACGTATTTAAAGGTGCAATTGAAATCAGCGATAACTAACCCATTGGGGTATGGTATAATAAATACGTAAGTTGAAGCTCCCCCTTAGGGGCTTTTCAGCCACAATGTAAACTAAGTGCTTAGAAATCTCCACTGGCAGGAGGCAGACCAGTGGGCTATTTACAGAGCGCAGCCAAGGAGTTGAACCAGGGGCAACCGAGAACAAATCCAGTGAGTGGCAGGGTGGAGGACTTGAACCCGGGCCACCGGATTACAATTTCAGCACTCGAACCACTTGGCCACGCCGCCTCTTTCTAGTCTGTTAAAAACGAAAGGTTTTTTCGCTTTGATAGCTTTACACAAATCACCGAAGGATTTACACTGTAATTGAAAAGTCACGGAATTCCCATCGGTGCATATAAATTGGCAGATGAATAAAAATGTAAGAATAAACAAAAATACATGAATCTATTCTCACCCAATTTTAAAATGTTATGTATAACTTATTTGAATTCTGAAAAATTACCCTCGCATACCTATACAGACACCGCAACTTTTGAAGCAATTGTGCAACATATATTTTGGATTTTTTGTGCATTCGTCAATTGATGCCCAGTGAGGACATTGTAGGTTTTTATCCTCACAAACTGACAGAAAAAAGAAAAGCAATGTTAATATAAGTGCATCGCGGAATCTTATCAGATCCTATCAGCATTTCTGCAAATTACCGAAGGATTTACATTGTAATTGAAAGGTCAGGGAATTCCCATTGTGGTGCATGTAAATTGGAAATGAATAAAAATGTAAGCATAAACAAAAATGCATGGATCTATTCTCACCCAATTTTAAAATGTTATGTATAACTTATTTGAATTTTTGAAAAATTATTCTTGCATACCTGGAGTGGCTTTGCAACTTTTGCAACAATTGTGCAGTATATAATATGGATTTTTTTTCTGCATTCACCAATTAATGCCCAGTATGGACAATGGCGGTTTTTATCCTCACAAGCTGACAGAAAAAAAGGAAAGCAATGTAAATATAAATGCATTGCTGAATCTTATCAGATTCAGATTTCATCAGCATTTCTGTTTAAGTCACATTCCCCCAAGTCAGGACCTCTTCATGCCTGGTCACCCGTCTGCCGAACTCTTTGTTTTCTAAATTTTGATTCCCCGCTCACTCCCTTGTGAATCAATTCTCGTAATTATTTAAAGGGAAGAGCTGTATTCAACCGGGCCAAAGTTGCAGTTGAACTCAAATCACCCAAGTTTGATGCTGAACCGGCATATTGGTCACTAAGGAAACTGACGATTATGTAGAGGAGGCCGGTGGGGGAGGGGGAAAGGGGTTAAAGAGCTAACACTTCTTTCAAAG